ATCCAAAAAAAACTATTTTTTTCTCACTGACTTTGATGTAAATAATAAAAATCAATTAAAAATATTCTGTCAAAAAGAGGATAGGCAATACTATAATCTGAAACAAAAAAAAATTCTTTTTTAAAAATCCAAAAATAATTTATGTTACCTGACTAATTGTTTACTTTTGTAATGAAATTAGCGAGTATATATATATGTATATATATATATATATATATATATATATATATATATATATATATATATATATATATATATATATATATATATATATATATATACATATGTTACGCACAGATTGTGAAATCGCGCATTTCACGAACTGTGCAATTTTTTACTCATTTTGTGAAATGGATAGCGCTGTTAAAAAATGGATTTTTAATATTTAAATATACTATGTATAATAAATAATAATATTGTATAATAAATATTAATATCATTTTTTTTTAATATTTAAATATACTATGTATAATAAATATTAACATTGACTTAAATAAGAATTTGCGACTTAAACGGACTAAAACATGGATCTGATACAGTTATCATAAAATAATATAAAATGTAAATAATCATATAAAATGTAAACTTTATTTTTTTTTAAAAATTAGTTTAGAAAACAGGAAAAAGTTTAACTATAAAATAATTTTATTTTAATTGATAGGCTGCCTGCCCAAACTAAACCCTCAGTCAATGTAACAGCACTCCTCACATGTTGTACCTATTTATTAGATGATTTAGCAACTCTCCTTGCATGTTCTACCTAATTGTCAGTTGATGTAGAAGCACTCTTCACATAATCTAGCTATTTTTCAGTCAATTATCAACACTCCTTGCATGTTGTACCTATTTGTCAGTCAATGTAGCAGCACTCCTTGCATGTTCTACCTTTTTGTTAGTTGATGTATGTAAATAGTAGAAAATTAAAAACACTCAGAATGCTTTTTTTTTTTTTTTTAACAAAAACATTCTGTATATTTTTAAAAACATTCTAGTTTTTTTTATTTTAAAATATTTTTAGTTTTTTTATGTCATAATAACAGATAGTCTGACCAGTTGGGCCGTTTTCACAATATTCTATTTTTTTTAAAAAATAAAAGTTAAAATTTTGAATTTATGTTGAAAATCGTTTATTGTGCCCAGACTACCAATAAGTGCACAAAAATCTAAAAAAATGGCGAACTCAACAGATAAACAGTGCTTTGATTATTTCATATTAGATCTAGATTCAGATATATTTTTTTGTAAACTCAATTTAATCAATAATTTCAGTTCTTTTCTCGATGAAATTGGGAGTAAAAACGCTTCAACCAAATTTACTTTTACCAGTGTATGATAAAATGTAAGTTCAAGCAATACATTCAATTAGTTTCTCTTTACCACAGCAAATAAATGGATAAGCTGATATTAAGCAAATTTGTTCTACAAATAAGTTCATGAATTTTGTTCAAAAAACATTCTTATTGTTACAAACAATCTTTGCTGCAAAATGTTCTGCAAAGAAGTTCATCATTTTTGTTTTATAAAACATTTTTATTGTTATTAACGATCTTTGCTGCTATTCATATATCAGAGATTAGCTTTCAAAGTACATATTTTAAAAAGATGATACGAATCTATCATTCAAGTTTATAAAAATAAGTTATAAAAATTATTTATAGTGAAGTTGAAGTTTTTTTATCCAAAATTTATAGTTGCAGATCAGAAAGGATTTTTTTCACAGATCCTCAGCTCTTGTACGATATAACCTTGCTAATCATGTTTAGAAAACAGAAAAAGAAAAAAATTTAGTTCAATACTTTGGTTGATACGTATTTAGTGCTTTTTATCGAAGAATACGTTAGTCAAAAAGTTGGCAAAGTTGACTTAATTGTTGGTGGAAAAAGTTGATGAATAAATCAATATTTTTTTGAAGAGTGAAATTATATTACTGATAAAAAATGTAGTAATTTAAAAAATTTAGATGATCTTTGATCTGTATTATCTGATGCTTTTTTTACTACTAGAAGAGTTAGCATTCAGAAAGTCAACCAAAAAGTTTATGTAAAAATAAGCTGCCAATTGATGACAGAATTGCTTTAAGATGTTGAGGTTTATCTTATTTTTTAAAAAATTGTTATTTTAATTTGACCAAGATGTTTAAAGATGTGGCTATCAATTTTCTAGACCATCTTTTACTACTTTATTTTTGTGTTGGTTCATTATCATATTCAAAGCAGCTATAAACTTGCATAAAACAGGAGCTGTAAACTTGCATAAAATCAATTCTATATTGAAAAGAACAAATTTGTTTGGGTAAAAAAATCTAGAAAGGGTTTTTAAATTCCATCAAATAAATATTAGACATTTGATAAAGGTTATTTTGATAACCAAGAAATTTGTTAAAAACATTTTCTAGCATTTGAACTGTATTGCAGTATGATTGAAAGATGCAATAATAAAGTGAAATTTAGATAAAGTTGCATAATTTTTTTATTTTAAATAATTATATCATATAATGTAATAAATAAAGGTAATAAAAAAACTGTTTAAGTAGTTAAATAATTTTTTCCGAATTTTATTTATAAAATTTAGAAATTTTATATATATATATATAAGACTTTATATATATATATATATATATATATATATATATATATATATATATATATATATATATATATATATATATATATATATATATATATATATATATATATATATATATATATATATATATATAAATATATATATATATATATATATATATATATATATATATATATATATATCTGTATATATATATATATATATATATATATATATATATATATATATATATATATATATATATATATATATATCAATTTAACGGTCGGACATCGCTGCCCCTCAGACCATTCTTGAGACATGCTAGAGGAGGGCAACAAACTAATGACAAAAAAATGTTGATTTTTTTATTAAAAATGAACAGTGGTTGGTTGCCCCCATAAATCAAATCTCAAAAACAGTCTATGGGGCAGCAATGTCCGACTGTTAAATTGAGCCCTGTATATATATATATATATATATATATATATATATATATATATATATATATATATATATATATATATATATATATATATATATATATCAGTGATGTACACTTTTTTGTGTGTGATGGTTATTATTTTTAGCTACAGAATTTGATACAAGTAAAGGAAAAAAAACATATTATATCTTATAGCAACAATTTTATAATTTTTTAACAATTCAAAGTTTTATTATGCTATTTATTAAGGATTTTTATGAAACTAATTTGTTATGTACTCTTGAACTATAAGAAACTTACTTATTTTTTTTTCTTATGTTTATTTGTTTTCACATCTGTTACTTTTTAAAAATGTTTTTGCTATATTTAACTTTTTTTCTTAATGCTTATATAATAGAAAAATTAGAAAATAAATTTCTTTTTAATAATAAGCTTTGTAATGATGGAAGATTTTAAATAAAAAAATAAATGTATTTACTTAATGCATGTCTGAAATTGTTTCCTTTATATTGCCTAATTTTCATCATTAAGACAAATTAATGGAGATAATTAACATAACAATTGCTCTGTTTGAAAAAATGTATACAAAAACTTGAAATTTTTTTTTAAAATAGGCTCCTAAAAATTTCATTAAAAAAATTCAGTAATATAACAATGCAGATTTGAGTGTCAATAACAAAAGTTCATCAGAAAATAATCAGGTTTAAATGATTGGAGAATTTGAACATTAGTAATAATGGATTTTTTATATTTACATGAAAAACATGTTTAAAAAAAATACATATTTAACAAATAAATAGCAATTAGTTTTTCTGCTTTTATGTACATACAAAACAGTAAATTTTTGCAAAAACATTTAAAAAACGAATTTTAAAATAATCTTTATTTCTAGCCCAACTAATAAAGTATTTCCTTAATATTCTGACTAACAAAAGTTGCAAATAAATAGTATATCAATATATTCTTATCTGCTTTTTTTTTGGCTTGTGTCATAGTTATTTTCATAAAACATAAAAACTTATAAACAAATTAATAATTAAATATCAATAAAAAACCTAAAAATACCCAGTTTAAGTCCCCTGGCAGCAAATGAAGGCCAAAAAAAAAAAATCTTCATTTCTATTTTCCTTATATCATACAACAATTTATCACAATTCAAAATAAAATTTAATAATTTTGTAACAAAAATTACCTGGTAGCTTTAATAACAATAAAAAATAGCCTAAAATAGCACAAATATGGTAAAATAATGTTCTTTAGCAACCAATGAAGACAAAAAAAATCTTTTTTTTTCATACTTATATTGTCCATGAGCAGCAATCTTTTTTGAACTTGTCTTAATAAGTTCAATTAACATTGCACTTGTTGTTCTTATTACTGGCCTAAAACCAAAGAAGTACGTAATAGATAATTACATTGCTTCTTCTTCTTCTTCTTCTTTTTTTTTTTTTTTTTTTTTGCAATTGTTCTTTCAGAAGTCTTCATAACCTGGTTAAGCCATTTTATTCATAAATCTGAATCATGTCTAATACTTTTTTATTCCTTCATTTACATTGAATGTAATTAATTGTATAAAAGTAGCCTAGGTTATTGTTAGTCAGCTGATGTAAGCATGAAAAAAGATTTTTTGATTGTTCGTACTGAAGAAGATTATTTTTTATTCTGTTAACAGTAATATATAGTAAAACAGTATCATAAAAATTATTTTATTAAGTGTTATAAAAAAAAAAAAGGTTCATTTTTATTTTAAAATTTTATTTATTTTTGAGAAAACTAACGGATTTTCTTTAAGTCTTTTGTTGCATGATCCACTTTCTAATCAGTAATTTTTGCTTTAAAATAAATTTGATGTTACTTTACAAAGTTTTAAAAGTTTTTCAGAATCAGTGTTAGGCTTATTATTACTTTAAGACTTTAAATATATAAAATAATATATACTATATAATTTATTAGTTTGAAAAATTGTTGTAATAAATATAAATCTCTTTAGGAAGATGTTATTCGCTTTGTCAAAGTACATGCGCCATTTGATATTTTATGTGAATATGCTGAAGATTTAAAAATGAAAATGCCCATAAAAGATTATGATATAAATATCAATGAATGGTACCATGGAAAATTGCACAGCATGATTGAAAATATTGATCCATTTGTAATTCGTGATAAGCATACACGTGATGAGAAAAAATTCTTTGTTAAAGTTTTTGACCAAGACCAACTATCACAATTTATTTACAGTGATAAACCGTTTTTTTTTTCCACCATTGAAAGAAGAAGAATAGTTTATTCCATTCTTGAAAAAACTCATTATGATAAAGGAGAATTAGATTTAGGTATAGATAATCTTCAAGCAAACGGTATCTTTCTTGATATCTATCCATTGCACAGTGGACCAGTAAAAAAAAATGCAAAAGATACCCCAATAAATGATCGTCAATTTTTACAAGAAGATTGGGCAAGTTTGAAACGTATTTTTAAATACCAACCTATTGAGGCCATTCGAAGTTATTTTGGTGAAAAAGTTGCACTATATTTTGCATGGCTTGGCTTATACACAACATTTCTTGTCCCAGCTGCGATTGTTGGTTTTTTTTGTTTTTTGTATGGTGTGATTTCAACATATGATTCTCCCATTGTTAAAGAAGTTTGTAATCCAAACAATCAGACAGATGGCACATATAAATTTTACATGTGTCCCTTGTGTGATAAAATTTGCTCTTATTATTTGCTTCATAGTCAAGGTTGCATTTATTCTAAAATTACTCATTTCTTTGATAATGACTCCACTTTGTTTTTTGCTGTATTTATGTCTCTTTGGGCTACCATATACTTAGAGTTTTGGAAGCGCAAAGAAATATCCCTCGCCTATGAATGGCATACTATGGATTTTGAAGAAGAAGAAGAGCGTCCTAGACCAGAATACCTTGCAAAAGTCACAAGGCTTAAAAAAAACCCAGTTACTATGAAAATGGAGCCTTACATGCCAACAACTCAAAGATATACTCGCCTTTTTGGTGCTTTTGGAGTTGTCTTGTTTTTTATGGTTTTAGTTCTTAGTGCTGTTGTTGGTGTTATTATTTTTCGAGCTGCGTTTTATATTTTTCTTATTGGTCAACGTAATGAAACTGTTCGAAGTCGCTCTAAAATGGTTGTTTCTGCTTGTGCTGCTTGTGTTAACTTAGTTGCTATAAATCTTTTAAAGTTTGTTTACCAGAGAATTGCAGTCAAGTTGACTAATTGGGAGAACCCACGGACAGCAACAGACTACGAAGATAGCTTTACAATTAAAATGTTTTGGTTTCAGTTTGTCAACACATATGCTTCAATTTTTTATGTAGCTTTTTTCAAAAGTGAATTTTTTGTTGGCAGTCCTGGAAATTACAAGAGGTTTACTAATCAGAAATTTCGTTTTGATGGTTGTTCTGTTCAAGGATGTTTTCTTGAGTTGACTATTCAACTTGTGATTATCATGGTTGGACAACAAATAATTGGAAATACCATGGAAATTTTAATTCCGTAAGAAAATTTTTAATTAAATGAGACTTTTTGTTCAGAAATAAATAAACTATTTTCTAACAGAATTTACTTTTTTTTTTCAATAGAAATAAATTTTTATTTAATAAAAATTGACTTTGACCAAAGAATGTAGTATTCTTTATATATTTTGTTATTCCACATTAATAAGATACCTTCTCTACTACTTCTGACAGAGATATCTTTAAAGAGGATGAATGGAAACAAAAATTTGTTGAAAAATCATTTTTAATTGTTAATTTATATATCACTCTAAATAAGCTTTTAATTCTAGTAACTCATTTTGAGCACAAAGTATTTTCAAATCAAAACATCTTTTAAGAAACCAAAACTTAATGCCACTCAACTACTGATGCTGTCCAAACTTACTGACACAATTATAATTAACTATTTAGCTACTGCAACTGAGCAGACAGATTTGTATCTTTATCTACAAAGCCATAGCTAATTAAAGCTTAGGTTTTTATTATTTTGTTTAAATTTTTACACTTTTTTTTAATTATTAGTTTTAAGGTTTTTTATCTACTGTTATAAAATAATTTCCTTTTCTTTAAAAATTACTTGCATGATTATTGCACACTAAACTTGCACACCAAAGCACTGTTAAAAAAAAATAGTGAAATTTTCAATGGTTTTATTTCTAAATCAATTACTATCAATTTTTATAACTGAGGCAGTTTTTATTATGTACGGGATGTTCTTATTATTTAATGAATGTTCTTAAAAATTTTCTATTGTATACCATTTTCAAAAAGTTCAGACCTGTTTCACGAGAGTATTTTGTATATTTCTGTATATACATTTCTTCAAATGTTAAGCAGATATCTTGCAACGTTTGAGTCATTTTTAAGTAATAATTTTGCATATTGTATTGCACCAATATTACCAAATTGGAAAAGAAAGCAATGGAAAATTGTATTTTTTAATAAAGAAAGCAATGGAAATTTTTTGGAAAAGAAAGCAATGGAAAATCTTTCAAAAGATTTTTTAATGGTGATATACTTTTTTTCTTTATTTTTTTGTTAAGTTCTTCAAAAACCAAAACAAACCAAAAAAAGGTTCTGCATGATTATCTACATAAGTAGGAAATTGTTCAAACATACATATGCAAGGCATTTTTATGACTATATAAAAACACTGTGTAAAGATAATAGACAACTCTTGTAAAATATTTTCATACAAGCTCTCAGCAACTTGTATAATAATTTCAATAACTTATGGTATGTAAACAATAACTTGTGGTATTAAATAACTCAATATGTGGTATTAAGTATCTCAATAACTTCTGGTATTAAACAATAACTTGTGAAATACAACATGATTTTTACGTTTTAACATTTGGTAGCTACTTACCGTACCAGCAATGTATTTAAAATTGTGTGCTCAATATTTTTTAGTACTTAGTATGTTGAACATTCTGGAACAAAAATAACCAGATGACTAATTACAAGAATCTCATTAATACATAATTATTTGCAATTGTTATTTATCCATGACACTTGGATGTAGAGTGGGTATTGTTTATAATCTTTTATTAAACAGGATATTTTAGCATGCTATCCTTGTTTTATTAGGCAGGATCTTTTAGCCAGTTCTCGTTGTTTTATAAAGTAGGATATTTTAGTCTGCTCTCCTTATTTTAAAGTATTTTTTGATTGAAAATGTTTTGGAAATATAACATATGAGTTAGTTGGCATACAGATCAGTTGGTATACATCTTATTTTAAATCGTTTAATAAATAGCTCACAAGACAACGTTCAATATTCTTTTTTCTACTAATAGTAATTTTAGTTTTTGTATACTTTCATTCAAAACCGCAAAGAACTGGCCTTCTATTTTTTCTGCAAAAGTGCAGAATATTAGGCAGTATACTTTAAGTAGGTCATTACCCAGAGATAATTTATTTTTTATGAAAGTTTATTAATGCTTTATCATTTAGAAAATTATATATTTGATACAACAAAATGAGTTAAAAAAAAGGTTCATAGATACTAATGGATATCCTAAATTTTCTTAGATATTCTTAAGTGTATAAATTTTTTATTGTTTAGTGAAAAAACCTGTGACCTCTTTAAAAGAAATGATACATTTGGAATTCTAATTAGCTTGTCTAATTATTCTACAACTATTGATTTAAAATATATAAATAATTTTAAAAAACTTTGACAAGGCTTTGTATAATGAAAGCGAAATTGCAAACTGAAAAATACTGAATTAAGTGATTCTTAAAAATTAAACAAGTTAGTTCAACTCGTTTCTCCGCGCAGCGGCCTTGTTCTTCAAGGTTCGTGTTTCGGAGTTATAGAGTTGAGAGAGGGTTATAACCACAAATAAATAGCCTCCTCGTCTGTAGTGGCCTTCTCGGCCTTGAGGAGGTGAATTAAAATAAAAAAAAAAATAAAATAAAAAAAAAAAAGTTCTAAAAAAAAAATTAATGATATTTTAAAAACTATTTAAGTTATTTTAAAGTCTAAAGGTTTTTTTCTTAGTGTCATTAAGAATGTCATTTGCTTGATTGAGTTTGATTGATTTCCACACTAAAGGTTGACAATTTAAGGATTGTGTGAAAATTTGAACCTAATGTTATTTATGTTGATTAAATCCAGCAGTAGCCTAATGTTTTTGTAGGACCTTATGAAATTTCAATGATTAACATGGGTATGACTCCAGTTTCCTATATATTTTCTTGTGTTCCTAGGCAAAGACTTAAGGGGTAAACAGATTCTATCTGTTGACCAGCCTCGCACCCCTTCCTCATCTATTAGGCTGGCGCAGATGTATTTTTAATACAATGTTTCCAGTTTAGGATGTTGAACTCGATTCATGGGTTTTGCTTTTGTCTCTGTTTTTATGATTAGGCAACTCATTCTATTATCTCCAAATGAGGGTACAGCTCCAAAACTCAGTTTTATGGTTCTGAGGCCGGCTGGTAGTCATGTTTCCCGAACTCTGTGGTAGCTCTCAGAGAGGCTGATTCCATCAATAGCTGAAAAATATCAGAGTACTAACAGTGCCATGTTGCGCATGGATGGTGTCCCTGTTTGTACTTTTGGTGTGCATTGCCAAGGCCACATTGGAGCCTTTTGTTACGGCTTAGGGTTTATTAGTGGAAATGAAGCAATTGCTTGGGCTATAAGACAGTGTACTGAGTACTATCTATGTTTCGAGTCAAGTTCTTTAACAAATTTCAAAATGAATAAAGTAACAAAAACTATATAACACAAAAAACCACAGTCATCACCAAGTCCGCTAAACCTATCATTCACCAATATTCGTGGTCTTCGAAGTAACTTTTCTTCTGTTGAGTCTTATCTCTTGCAAAGTTCACCAGACCTACTTGCTCTTTGTGAGACTAATTTGAGTTCAGCTGTCTCATCTTGCGATCTTAGTGTTGATGGTTATCTTTCTTTAATTCGTAAAGACTCCAATAGTCACATGCTTGGCCTAGGCATTTACATTCAGAAGAATTCACCCATTTGTCGGGAAACTAGGTTTGAATCCACAGACTACTCTTTTATGTGCTTTTGTTTAGCACCACTTCACTCTATCACCTTTCTCTTTGTTCTATATTGCTCTCCCTCATCTCAAGACTGCACTCTTCTTGATGTTATTTAAAATAGTCAACTTTCCAACTCGCTTTCCAGACAACCCGAATCAATTACCTTCTCTACTCGACTTATGTCTTGTTTCTGATCCTAGTCAGTGCTCAGTTTCTTCACACTCACCTTTAGGTGCTTCTGATCATGGTTTGGTCTCTCTAAAACTATTATCTCATTCTTCTTTACCATCAGAATCCCCCTATCATTGTACATCTTATAACTACCTTAAAGCTGACTGGGACTCTTTCCGTGATTTTCTTCGTGATGGCCCCTGGGTAGAAATCTTTGTCTCCCTGTTGACAAATGTGCTTCTTACAAAACTTTGTGGATTCAGGCTGGCATGGAATCCTTTATTCCCTCTCGACAATTCCAGGTCAAGCCTCACTCTTCTCCATGGTTTTCCTCACATTGTGCTGCTGCAATTGCCAATCGAAACCATTACTTCTATATCTATCAGCAAAACAATTCTCCAGAAAACAGACGTCTATTTATTACTGCTAGGAACCATTGTAAAAAGGTTTTGTCTAACGCCAAAGCCCGCTATTCTCAGATCATGAAATCTCGTATTTCATCACAAAAATTAGGCTCTCGTGACTTCTGGAGAATCTTTAATAGTATCAATAATAAGGGCAAGTCTGTAATTCCACCTCTTTTGTATGGTTCAGACTTTGACACCTCACCTAAAGACAAAGCTGAATTGTTTGCCAAGAACTTTTCATCAATAGCATCTCTTGATGCCACTAGTTGCGTTCTACCTGATATAGCCGTCAAACAGGTTGATCTATTGCTCGACATTCGTATCACTCCAGCTTCTGTATCTAAAGTGATTTCCCGCTTAGACTCTTCTACAGCTTGCAGCCCGGACAACATACCTGTTATAGTCTTGCAGAAGTGTTCTCCGGAGCTGTTGTCTATCCTTTCAAAACTATTCAACAAGTGCTTATCAGAGTCTTGTTTTCCAGCCTGCTGGAAAGCAGCATCTGTTATCCCTTTTTTTTAAAATTCTGGAGAGCGATCTGATTCGTCTAACTACCGTCCCATTAGTCTTCTTCCTATCATAAGCAAGGTTTTTGAATCTTTAATTAATAAACACTTAATCTCTCATCTCGAATCTCATAACCTACTTTCTGATCATCAATATGGATTTCGATCTTCTCGGTCTACGGCTGATTTGCTATCAGTAATAACCGATAGGTTTTATCGCGCATTAGATAAAGGTGGAGAGGTTAAGGATATTGCTCTTGACATTTCTAAAGCGTTTGATAAAGTTTGGCATGCTGGTCTTCTCCATAAGCTTTCTTCTTACAGTGTATCTGGAAACATCTTTAAGATTATTGAATCATTCCTTTCCAATCGTAGTATAAAAGTTTTCCTTGATGGAC